CCTCTCGTGGTACCTCTCCGGCCACCTGCACCTGGGCAGTGCCGTGGCTCTAAGGGCTTCTGTGAAGTGAGCGGGGGTGAGGGTGGGGGGTCCCTCCAGCAGATGGGGTCCTTTGGTCTGGCCTGTGGGGATAGGGCTGAAACTGGCTCTCCGACATCCCACAAGGGGTCCTGGATTGTGAGAGGGCGGTTCTTGAGTGATGCACCCCAGAATTGGGCTTCCTCCTCTCTGGTTCCAGGATGTGGTACCTGAGAACTGCCACTGCCAAGTCACTGCAGCTCAGCAACTCCTGCATTGAGCGTCTGCCCCCTGATGGTCAGTGTGCATCATACCTACTGGCTGGTTGGCCAGTCGGCCGGTTGCTTAGCCTTTTATATATATAGATTTTGGATAATAGGCGCTTATTAGAAGTAATGTTTGCAAATACCTTCTTTTGTTCAGTTAGTTTCTTTTTTGTTTTGTTGATAGCTTATTTTGCTGTATAGAAGCTTTTTAGTTTGTTATAGTTCCAGTCATTTATTTTTGCTTTTATTTCCCTTGTCTTTGGTATCAAATTCTTAAAATCCTCTGAGACAAAGATTCATAAGTTTAGTGATTTTTTTATATTAAATTGTGCCAGATCTTATATTTAGGTCTTTGATCCATTTTGAGTCAACTTTTGTGTATGGTGTCAAATAGTGTTTGCTGAGCAACATTTAATCTTTAAGTTGTTTTTGAGTTTGACATGCATTTTCATCCAATTATGCTTGTAATTGGTCTTTAAACTTTTTCTGTTGACCTGGACATTCTTTGTCTTTCACATCAAAGTGATCACTGTTAAAGCATTTCAATTAAGGTTCACAAGTATCTTGAGATGGAGCATGTTCACCATAAGCTTCCTGAAGTATATGATAACTTTTTCTTCAGAATAATGAATTAAAACTTCCCGCAAATGCTCTTTTTTGGACCCGAAATTCGACATTTTTAGGCGTAAAAAATATCTATGATGATAACACTTTTAGCAAATATGGCATATGAAGTTTTGAAGCTTGTTGTCAATACAACAAAATAGCATACATATTAAATCGCATGTATATCAACATGTATACCTCCATCTATTGAAAAAAATCCACATTATTAACTGGTACACCTAGTATTTTTCCGTTTCTTTGTGTCTTCTTCAACAATGTTTCAACAGTTCCTCTCAACAGTGTTTTGTAGTTTTCAGTGTATTGGTCCTTTACATCTTTTTTTTTATTCCTATGTATTTTATTCTTTTGTTGTTGCAGTTGCAAATAGAATTATTTTTCTGAAATTCTCTTGTTAATCTATCCTATAGGAAAGCAATGAGTTTTTTACATTGATTTTGTATCTTGCAAGTTTACTGTATTTATTTATTGTTTCTAATTGTTTTTTTTTTGTGTGAAGATTTTGGGTTTTTTTATATAAAGAATCATGTCATCTGCAAAAAGTGACAATTTTACTTCTTCATTCCCAATTTAGATGCCTTTTAAAAATTTTTCTCTTGCTTGCTTGTTTTGGCTAGGACTTTCAGTATATATGTTGAATAACAGTGATGAGATTATCATCCTTATTTTGTTCATGATCTTAGAGGAAAAGCTTTGTTTTTTTGCCATTGAATATGATATGTGGCTTTTATTATGTTTAAGTACCTTCCTCCTATACCCAGTTTATTGAGTGTTTTAATTATAAATGGATGTTATATCTTGTCAGATGCTTTTTCTGCATCTTTTGATATGATCATGTGATTTTTTTAAAATGTATTTTATTGTTTTTTTACGGAGAGGAAGAAAGAGGAATAGAGAGCTAGAAACATCGACAGCTGCCTCCTACAGGGGATATCCCCGCAACCAAGGTATATGCCCTTGACTGGAATTGAACCTTGGACCTTTCAGTCCTCAGGCTGATGCTCTTATCCACTGAGCCAAACTGGTTAGGGCCATGGTTGGCAAACTGTGGCTTGCGAGCCACATGCGGCTCTTTGGACCTTAGAGCGTGGCTCTTCCACAAAATAACACGGCCTGGGCCAGTCTATTTTGAAGTGGTGTTAGAAGAAGTTTAAGTTTAAAAGATTTGGCTCTCAAAAGAAATTTCAATTGTTGTACTGTTGATATTTGGCTCTGTTGACTAATGAGTTTGCCAACCACTGGGTTAGGGCAATGATCATGTGATTTTTATTCTTTATTAATGTGGTTGATCATGATGTATTATCTATTTAATGTATTGTTGTGTTCCATTTGATAGTGTTTTATTTAGGACTTTGCATCTACATTCATCAGAGGTATGGGTCTGTAGTGTGTGTGTGATCCTTGCCAGGTTTTGGTATCAGGGTAATATTGGCCTCATAAAATGGGTAGGAAGTATTGCCTCTTCTTCAGTTATTTGGAAGAGTTTGAGAAGGATAGGGATTAAATTTTCTTTGAATGTTTGATGGGATTCACTAGTGAAGCCACATGGTCCCGGACTTTTACTTTTTGATATGCTTTAATGAATGTTTCAATTTATTGTTGATTTATCTTTTTAGATTTTCCAGTTCTTCATGGTTCAGTCTAGGATGGTTATATATTTCCAAGAACTTGTCCATTTCTTCTAGGTTATCAAATTTGGTGGTGCATAGCCTTCCTAGTAACTTGTGTAGTCCTTTTAATTTCTGCGGAGTCTGTTGTAAGTTCTCTTTCATTTCTGATTTTGTGTCTTTTTTTTTCTTTAGTGAGTCTAGTCAGAGGAGGTTTGTCAATTTTACTAATCCTTCTAAAGAACTAGCTCTTCATTGCAGTAATTTTTTTATTGTCTTGTTCTCTATGTAGCTTAATTCTGCTGTAATTTTTTTTCCTACTGACATTGGGCTTCATTTGTTCTTTTTCTAGTTCTTTAAGATGAAATGCTAGGTTATTTATTTGTGGTTTTTGTTTCTTGAGATAGGCCTGTAATGCTTTAAGCTCCCGTCTTATTACTACTTTTCCCGTCTTTTTACAACTTTTGATATGGATAAATAAAATGTTTATGAATAAAAAAAATATTTCATACAATGAAATAGTTTTGGCAATAGATAAGAATGAAATACTGATATATGCTACATGGATGAATCTTGAAAACAATGCTAAGTGAAAGAAGTTAGCCACAAAAGATCACATTATATGATTTTATTTACTTAAAATGTTCAGAATAGGCAAATCTATAGAGACAGAAAGTACATTAGTGGTTGCTTGAGAGTTAAGGGAAATAAGGGATTATTTGCTAAAAGGTATGGGCTTTTTTATGAAATGATGAAAATGTGTAAAAATTTATTATAGTGATGGCTTGCCCAATTCTGTTAATTAAATTGTATACTTTAAAATGTGTGAATTGTAGGTAGGTGCATTAGATCTTGTAAGCTGTTTAAAAAAATCAAGACCCTTTCATATGGCAAAAGATACCATGAACCATATTAAAATCCACAGATGAGTAGTATAACATATAAAGTTGGTAAAGACAGTTTCCAGCATATAAAAGGAACTCCTAAACATTAATAAGAAATTAACAGACATCTTATAGTAAAGAATCAGGCAGATCACCTAGAAAGACATCTAAATGATCAATAAAGAAGTTTGGTTTGCTTTATATACTGCAAGGATGAAGACCATTCTCAGCAATCAGACTGTTAATATCCCAGAATATGTGGACATCACTCTGAATGCTCCTTGGGCACCCTTCAGAGGGACTTCAATCACATTAATGTAGAATTCTTGTCCCTGAGAAAGAAAAAGTGGCTTTAGGGTGACAAATGGTGGGGAAATAGAAAGGAGCTGGCCACAGTTTGCACTGTCTGCAGTCATGTACAGAACATGATCAAGGGTGTTCCGCTGGGCTTCTGATACAAGATAAAGTCTGTGCACGCTCACTTTCCCATCAGCGTCATTATTCAGGAGAATGATTCTCTTGTTGAAGTCAGAAATTTATTGGGCAAAAAAATACATCCGCAGAATTTGGATGAGGTAAGGCATTGTTTGTTCAGTATCAGGCTCAGAAAGATGAGTTAATTCTTGAAGGAAATGACATCGAACTTGTATCAAAATCAGCTGCTTTGATTCAGCAAGTCACAACAGGATATCAGAAAACTTTTGGATGGTATCTATGTTTCTGGAAAAGGAACAGTTCAACAGGCTGGTGAATGTCTAAGTTGTCCAGCTATAGAAACAATAAGATACCAAATGAATTGTCATACTTATTTGCTATATTTTACAGATGGAATAAAAGCTACATATACTGGGGGTGTGTGTGTTAAAGTTTGGTTTCAAGTAGATAAAATTTAAAATAAGGGTGAAATATTTATCGGGTGCCTCTTTGTGCCTGGTGCTGGAATGGACAAGAGTATAGCAGTGAACTGGATAGTGTTGAGTAGATGGTATTCAGCTTTCAGGGATAGGAAGTGAGAGCATCCTCATTAGTTTTTGTTTTTGTTTTTTTAAAATATATTTTATTGATTTTTTACAGAGAGGAGGGGGAAGGACAGAGAGTTAGAAACATTGATGGGAGAGAAACATTGATCAGCTGCCTCTTGCACACCTCCCACAGGGGATGTGCCCACAATCAAGTACATGCTCCTGACCAGAATCGAACCTGGGACCCCTCAGTCCGCAGGCAGACGCTCTATCCACTGAGCCAAACTGGTCAGGGCATCAATTTAGTTTTGTAATGTGTTTGTGTCATATTACTAACTTACTTAACTATTTCCTAAGTAACATGGAAGTAATAAATATATTTTTTAGAATAATTAGAAGAATAAACTGAAAGGGAATGCCTGTCTTTCAAGAGGTTACCATTTGGAAATGATGACAGCTAATGTGTTTTTTCTTGCTAGTCTTTTGAAGATTTCTGATCAAATATTTCTCAAGTTCAGTAATCAGTGACCCCCTCCTCACTGCCCTCCAACATCATGAAAGGAAAAAGTGAGAATCATGGGTTTTCTTTTGACAATCAGTATCTCCTGATTAATTCCTTTCAGGTGGACGATCAGAATAATGTTCAACATCAACCCCCTGGAGAACCTGAAGCTGTACATCAGCAGTCGGCCGCCCCTGGTGGTCTTTATGATCAGTGTAAGCGCCATGGCAATAGCTTTCCTGACCTTGGGCTATTTCTTCAAAATCAAGGAGATTAAGTCACCGGGAATGGCAGAGGTATAGTATATTCTTTTTTTTTCTTTTCTTTTTAAAAAATCTTTATTGTTGAAAGTATTACATATGGAGGTTGGTGCATTCTAAGTTCTTTCAGGCTGGCTGGACCTTATACAAGGGAGTAACCCCTTTGGGCTCTTCACACCCTTTTCTTTGGTTGTGACTCTGTCCCAGTGAGAAAGGTCAGTATACAGAACTTTTTGTCTTTCTCTCCCTTTCAGATAGTTATTGATTCAGATGAGGCTACCAGTTTCAGTTAGAATACTTCAGCAATGAATCGGGTATTTTGGAAAGTATATTTGCAAAATGTTTGTGTAAAGAAGCTAGAGAATAGCTTCTCGTATTCCCACTAGAGGCCCGGTGCATGAGATTCGTGCACAGGGGTGGGGAAGGGGTTGTCCCTCAGCCCAGCCTGCACCCTTTCCAGTCTGGGATCCTTTCACAATGCAGGACTGCTGGCTCCCAACTGCTCGCCTGCTTGCCTTCCTGATTGCCCCTAACTGCTTCTGCCTGCCAGTCTGATCACGCCCTAACCACTCCCATGCTAGCCTGATTGATGTCTAACTGCTCTTCTGCCAGCCTGTTTGCCCCCAACTTCCCTCCTCTGCCAGCCTGGTCACCCCTAACTGCCCTCCCCTGCAGGGTTGATTGCCTCCAACTGCTCTCCCTTGCAAGCCTGGTCCATCCCAACTGCCCTCCCCTGCTGGCCATCTTGTGTCCACATGGGGGCAGGATCTTTGACCACATAGGGGCAGCTATCTTGATCTTGTGTGTTGGAGTGATGTTTAATCTACGTATTATTCTTTTTTTTTAGATAGGATAGAGGCCTGATGCACGGGTGAGGGCCAGCTGGTTTGCCCTGAAGGGTGTCCTGGATCAGGGTGGAGGTTCCCTTGGGCATGGGGCGGCCTGAGGGAGGGGCTGTGGTGGTTTGCAGGCCAGCCATGCCCCCTGGCGACCCAAGCTGAGGCCCTGGTATCTGGAATTTATTTACCTTCTACAATTGAAACTTTGTAGTTGAGCAGGAGACTTGTAGTTGAGCAGTAGATGGAGCAGGAGACTTGGCTCTGTAGCAGAGCCAAGTCTCCTGCTCCATCTGTGGCTGCCGCCATTTTTATAATTGAAACTTCGTATCCTTTAATGGAGGCCTGGGCCTGCCAGAGTGTGTGGAAAGCTTGGCTTCCTCTGTTGCCAGGGAAACCCAAGCCTCCCTTTTGGTAGCCATCTTGGTTGGGTTTATTTGCATACTTGTTCTGATTAGCTGATGGACCTGGCTGGTGGGTGTAGCAGATCGATGGTTAATTTGCATATTACTCTTTCATTAGATAGGATGAAATTAGCTCATTGCAGTTTTTAATAACTGTAAACATGTTATTTTAAATCCCCACATCATCACCGTGGAGTTTTATCAATTATATAGATAAGAAGGGATCTTCAAGAAATTAGAAAATGGCATCTTATTTTCAAATACAGTTGTCTTTTTTTATCCAGGAAAACTTCTGTTGTCTACAAACTTGCCTTCTAGATTTTACATTTTGTGCAATTTAAATTATTAGGACTGTGCCTTTTAATTCTTAATCTAAGCATATAATGGTGTGAACACTCATAACACATATTTACAGTGATGTGTATTTTTGTATACCAAAAAAACAAAAAGTTACTAATTCTTATTTAATAGAGGTGAATGACAATATTACCTATCAATAAATTTGTTTACATGTTAGAAATTATGTTGAATTAATGAAAAGGTGAATTTATTGGTGGATAAGTTTTCTTTTAGGATAGATTTGTTCTTCTCTTAGTAGATCCCCCAGTGCTTCCTCTTACACTTTTTTGTATACGTTTGTTGTTGGGAGTGGGATGGGAGTAGAGACTGGAATTGCATTGTTGCTGTACTGGGTGTGCCTTGTGAAGGAAAGTTCTACTCAGTGTACAGAGGTCATTGTTTTGTCTTGTGCTCTGTGGCATTCTAGATCATAGTGATTAATTCCTTTCAGGTGGAAGGACCACCTTCACATGTGAGCTCCCTAACAGTTAAAGTAACACATTTAAACTATTTCCACCATGAATCCCTTTCAAAGAGTTTCTTACAAGAAACATACTCACTGGCTAATTTCCTCTCTTCTCTGACCCTGTCTGAATTTTTAAAGGGTGTGCAAACAGGATATATCCACAATACCTATGAAACGAACATTCTCTTTAAAAAAATATTGATTTCAGAGAGGAAGGGAGAGGTAGAGAGTGATAGAAACATCAGTGATGAGAGAGAATTATTGATTGGCTGGCTCCTGCATGCCCCACACTGGGGTTTGAGCTCACAACCCACGCACATGCCCTGACCAGAAATCAAACTGTGATCTCCTGGTTCATAGGTCGCCCCCCAACCACGGACCCTTACTGGGCTGAAATGAACATTCTAGTCATAACCCTAGCTCTGCTGTATACTGGCATTGCTGCTTCTCAGAGCTGGAGTGTATGTTGAACACTCAGCCAAGGCCAGTGGTTAAGATGTCGCCTGGAAAATTAGCCCTTAAATCAAAGTGGGGTCTGACATTGGCTTTGGCAGACTGTTCAAAATGGAATGGAGCTCTACAGGAAAGCATTGCCAGATGCTGCTGAACTTTGGCTGTGATTAATTTAGTGATTTTATTTTCAAGGGAGGATCCTAAGTGTATATGGGAAGAGTTTGGGTCTGTGAGTTCGGAAACTTAATTCTTATTCTGCCTTCAAATATGGAATTAGAGAGTCCGTAATTTGCACTGGACTTCAGTTTCCTCATGTCTGCAGTATGAAGGGATGACACTAGAATGCATGTAGGTGTTAGGGAAAATGTAATTTGATACATCCAGTTGTAATCTTATTAAATGCCATATACTGATTTACTGATGCTATAAATGTAGACTCGCTTGACTGCTTGGGGATTGTTCAAATGGCATTTAATTCTTGCTAGTATAAGTGTAATTGGAAGTGTTACTTGGTTTGTTTTCACATTTGGCAACTTTTTGTAGACCAATGATGCCTGGGAGAATGTCGCAACCTAGCCGAAACTGGTTTGGCTCAGTGGTAGAGCGTTGGTCTGCGGACTGAAAAGTCCCAGGTTTGATTCCGGTCAAGGGCATGTACATTGGTTGCGGGCGCATCCCCGGTAGGGGGTGTGCAAGAGACAGCTGGTCGATGTTTCTCTCTCATCGATGTTTCTAGCTCCCTATCCCTCTCTCCTTCTCTCTGTAAAAAAATCAATAAAATATATTAAAAAAAAAAAAAAAAAGAATGTCGCAACCTAGGTTAGGTTTGTTATTGCTGTTTCAGTTAAAATTAAAATAAATCCTGATGGGTATTTTACTATGTTGATATCAGTTTAACCATGACATGATAAGCTGTCTGTCTTTTTAAAACTACTTATGATGTAAGCCACTAATGCAGGGTGAAGATATTAAGAGAACCTGAAAACATCTTTCTCTTTTTTTCTCCACTTGGAAATTGTTTCTGTTCTAAGGTAGCAAACAAAGTCCATGACAATGGAGGAAAAATCCCACATATTGGTATTTATTTGGTTTCACATTCTTTTTTTCTTTTCTTTTTTTTTTTTTTTAATATATTTTATTTGATTTTGTACAGAGAGGAAGGAAGAGAGATAGAGAGTTAGAAACATCGATGAGAGAGAGTCATCGACCAGCTGCCTCTTGCACACCCCCTACTGGGGATATGCCCGCAACCAAAGTACATGCCCTTGACCGGAATCGAACCCGGGTCCTCCAGTCCCCAAGCCGACGCTCTATCCATTGAGCCAAACCGGTTTCGGCTGGTTTCACATTCTTGAGAGAGAAGGCAAGGTGTATAGAATTACCTTTTTTTTTTTTTTTTTAATTATTTTTTCCCTTGAGTTTTAGAGAGAATGGAGGGGTGAGACAGGGAAACTTAGATTGGTTGCCTCAAGTCTGCAACCATGGTATATGCCCTTGACTGGAATCAAATCTGATTCAGTCTGTGGGCTAAGGCTCTATCCACTGAGCCAAACCAGCTGAGGCTAGAATTAACCTTCTGAGGAATTATTTTGAGGTGGCCTTATTTAAAAAAACAAAAACACACAACAAAACTAATTACAACTGCTAAATGAGTTTAGATTAATGACTTTAATGTTTTACTATTTTTGTTCAAGCTTTCTTTTCATGTTTGTTTTTGAGGCTAAATCATATTCTGTAAGTATAATACACTTTTGTTTTCTACATATTTTCTTGTATAAGTTTATTTAATCCCACAGCTAATTTAATATCTCATACCAATGAACAGTTCATATTTTTGGTTATGAATATGAGAGTGGTTTGGAAAACCACACTATAGTGACAATGCAACAGCTGATGGCATTATTGTCTCTGTTATTATAATGATTGACTCTAAAGCTGGTGTCCCCACCTTATGATGTGACCTCGAGGGCCATGGCAGCACTTGCAGACTGCTCACACTTTTTTCTCTCTGTTTCATTTTATGGAAGGATTGGAATACTTTTCTGCTGCGATTTAATGATTTGGACTTATGTGTATCAGAGAATGAAACATTAAAGCATCTCACAAATGACACTACAACTCCAGAAAGCACAATGACCAGTGGGCAGGCCAGAGTGTCCACCCAGGCCCCACAGGCACTGGAGGATTCAGGCCCTGTTAACATCTCCGTTGCAATCACCCTCACCCTGGACCCGCTCAAACCCTTTGGAGGGTACTCTCGCAATGTCACCCATCTGTACTCAACCATCTTAGGGCATCAGATTGGACTTTCAGGTATGTGTGTGTTCACCAGTTTCCTTTCAGACTTCCTCAAGCAACAGCTGTCACATGGTTTTAGACTGTTTTTAATTTTTGCATGTGTCTGCCCTTAATAAAGTGCTTGGCAAGCAATAGGCTCTCAGTAAAAAGCCTATGAAAATGAAAATGAGAAACTGGGAAGAAACTATAAGGTCTCTTTCGGTTTACAAACACATGCTATCATTTTGGAGATGGCAATACATACTATAAATACTGCTGTTAGTTTACAAACTTGAACGTCCACCATTAGCTCAGCTTATGGAATGAACTAGCAAAAGCCTAAGATCTGGTCTCTTCCCTTTGGCATTTTGAGATTATGGAAGAGACAAGGATAACATGAATTAATATTTATCAAGTGCTTTCAGTAGTTCTTGACACAAAGCAAATGCTATATATACTGTGAAACCTTGGTTCTTGAATTTAATTGGTTCTGGAAGGCTGCTGGAGAAGCTATTTGTTTGAAAACAGAATCATTTTTCCCATTAGAAATAATATAAAATTAAATTAATCTGTTCCCAACCCACAGATTGAGTCCCTGTTTTCACCTTTCTTATATACAGTAAATATCTAATGTACTGTTTAATCTATAAACAAACACTTCTTTTAAATGTATTGAGCCCCCCCCCCCCCCCCCCCTTTACTAGCCTTAGATGAATCGCTTTTAGCACATGTTCTAGGGATATCTTTCAGGAAGCATGTGGCATCTTTGCTTTATTATATATGGCTGCCTCCGAAATGCTGTCACTGGCTAATTCATTTATCCAAGTCAACAACAATTCTTCTACCTCTTCATTTGCCTGTGATCTTTGTTTCTTTCACAGCCTTAGCAACATTAATACTCTTGTGTTATGGCCTCTTGTGTAATGGCCTCTTATGTTTTAAAATTGTGCTAACCATAGATTTCTCCAGCAACAAAAGCATTCTCTTCTTTCTTTGTTGCCTGAGAGACACTTTTTGTCATGCTGAGGTGTCAGGATGAAAGGGTTGTCAGGTTAAAAACCAAAGTTTGGTTTGACAACTGAGACATTTTTCCATGAACAACTTAGTCAAGAACCGAATTGTTTGAGATGGGAGAGGTTGAAGAACTGAGGTTTGACTATAAGTGCTTGTTAAATAATAGTAATAAAAAGAAATACCTATAAAACATTGAGCACTACCCTTTCACCAGAACCAAACCCATGACTGACTGTAAGTGATTCAGGACACGGTGAGAGAGTAGTGGAAGAGGGACTAATCTGGTAAGGTTGCATGCTGGAGGCCCAGGCCTTGAAAGAATAATCTGGGTTACCAAGAGCCTTTTAAAGTCCCGCCAGCCTCCTATTGGTTGTTATAGGTGAGAGCTGTTCCCATGGAAATAAGGTAAGGGCAACTTCTGGGTTTTCTGTGTTTCAAGTAGCCCTTTCTCTTCTGCTGTGGTGTTATGTACCTTGGTTTTCATTTAAGCTTCATCATTTAACTGGTCCATGACCTTACTTAAGTCTGTTAGATCCTCTGCTCCTCAGTTTGCTCATATGTAAAAGCGGAGCAGTAATGGGGTAGTGGTACATTTTGTCATGTGGTAGTGGTACATTTTAAGTGAAGCAATAAATATAAAAGCAGTTTGAAAATGGAAAGGTGCTGTGCAAATGCTAACACAGTGGGTGATAATAACCCACCCAGCCCCCAGCTTTCCAACTGGGCACTGCCTTGGCTCTTAGTACCCCTAGGTCTGGCTGAAAGTGGCCCCTCTCTGCTTGCCTTTTGATAGCTCTGCCAGGTGAGAAGGCCTCAGAGTCCAGCTCAGAACTGGTGGTGGTCCTGAAATCCCACAGAGGTGATTCCTGGGTGGGTTTGATGTCAGGATTCATTCAAATCCTAGAGAATAATAAGTATGGGTTCTTGCCTTTATCAAAATAAAAATAAATCCACCATGATTTCTCTTTCATAGGCAGGGAAGCCCATGAAGAGATAAACATTACCTTTACCCTGCCAGCAGCTTGGAGCTCGGATGACTGTGCCCTTCACAGTCACTGTGAGCAGGTGGTGTTCACAGCCTGCATGACGCTCACAGCCAACCCTGGTGTGTTCCCCGTCACAGTGTAAGTGGTTTCCTAAGCCCACGAGTATGAGAAGCTCCACTGACCATGAATGTGATTGGGGTGCTTTGGCAGAAAGTTCCCGGGGGGGCTCACACTGCATCCCTTTACCTGGACCTAACGAGTTCTTTAAGTTTAGTTTGGAATTCTGAGATAGAACTTCTCGTGTAAATAGCAGAGTTAGATCCTCAGCAAGGTTGGTTGTTATCGCTTGTTCTAAGGCTGCCTCTCCTGTTGGTAGAAGAAGCATGTCACAGAAAAGATAGGAAGGATGGATCCCATGAAAGAATGACCCAGAGTTAAGGCTCCCAAAAGATTAAGGTTTTGTTCATGTCCATTATCCAGGAAGAGTTATTTTTAAAATTGAGAGCACAAGTAAAATCTTATTTTCTATGAAACAGTTACTATTTCGGGAACTTTTTGCTTTTTATATTTTGAGCAGTTGTAAAACTGTCAGTATTACCATTTTGCCTTTATATATATATTTTTTTGCCTCTCCTTTTTCTGGGAAGGAGATAATGATCTATAAATTCATGAAATATGCTATATGTAGCCTATTTTAAAAATCCTGTGGTGAATCTTTTTTCAGTAAGAATAATTAGTCAGGTATTTGTCTAATTTAGACATTTGGAGGTTTGTAGGACAATATCAGATAAGTTAAACATTATTTGCTGCTGTTCTCATTAGAAATAATGTAATGTAAATCTGCTGGAGAAGTTTGTATGTCAGACTGCCTGATGTAATTGAGAATTGGGAAAATGGCTTAAAAGGAGCAGGTTCTTCTTTGGCCACATCATATGCAAGAGGACTATGAAGGCAAAAATCTAACACGTAAACTCTTCAATGCCAAATGCCTATTTCTTTTATGTTTATTAAATAAATAATAAAAGGTCCCTGAGTGAAAAGCTTGGTATTTATCTGAAACATTTATGTCTTCTGTTTCTTCCTTCCACATGTTAGGCTGTGGTCAGTGTTGGGCTCGGGGCTGTGGGGAAAACAGTAAATGTCTAGGCCACTGAGCATGTCTTTCCCCGTCTCCCCCTGCAGACAGCCGCCGCACTGTGTTCCGGACACATACAGCAATGCCACGCTCTGGTACAAGATCTTCATGACTGCTAGAGACGCCAACACAAAATATGCTCAAGATTACAATCCTTTCTGGTGTTATAAGGGGGCAATTGGAAAAGTCTATCACACTTTAAATCCCAAGCTTACAGTTGTTGTTCCAGATGTAAGTGAGAAAACTCGTGTATGCGTGTGTGTTTAGGAACTGTTAGAGGAGTGGTGTTTACATGCTTGGGTTAGCTTAGCCCCTGCCATTTCAGATTCCCAGCTGAGTTAATAAAAGGCTAGGAGGAGTGGTGGACACTTGGAAAAACATGCCACTTTTTTGGTTAAGAAAACTGTTTCTGTTTTTCGTTTTCTGCTTTGCTCAGCAGCAGTTACTTATTGAGCAGCTGTTGTGTGTCTAACCCATGGGGGTTACAAGAAATGCTTGTAGTCTTACTCATGCACACAGCCACTCAGGAGAATATTTGGATAGTGCTAATATGAGCAGGGAGTGGTTCGGAATTCATAAGGGTAAAAATAAATCTTTGGATAGTGAGGGCTGAATAGGATGTTAAGGAAGAGAAAAAGGGAGGAAAACACTGTAATCTAGACTAGTGATTAACTTGCTAGTTTAGCTTCCGGCTTACTAGTACACTTGAGCCCACTTTTACAGACTACACTGATTTTTTTTTTTTTATAAGTGCCCTCTTCCTGTCAGTATATGTTAGGTGGATTTCTTGCCTTTTTACCTGCCTTTTTTTTTTTTTTTTTTTTTAAATATATTTTATTGATTTTATACAGAGAGGAAGGGAGAGAGATAGAGTTAGAAACATCGATGAGAGAGAGTCATCGATCAGCTGCCTCTTGCACACCCCCTACTGGGGATATGCCCACAACCAAGGTACATGCCCTTGATCGGAATTGAACCCGGGACCTGTCAGTCCCCAAGCCGACGCTCTATCCATTGAGCCAAACCGGTCCCGGCTTACCTGCCCCTTTTTATCAAGTTGTAGAAGTTGGTAGGCCAGGATCCTGTGGAGTAATCAGTGGAGGTCAGGTTCCAGAAAGTCCTTTGTGCCTCTTGAGGCATTTAGACTTTTTCCCTAAGAGGAGGCAATCCCCGCCCATGTTGGGCTGTAGGGGGATTTGTAAAGACTGGTCTGCCCACCTGATTAGTGTAAATGTCATGGGGCCTAGAGATTTGGGAAGGAAAAGGAACGGAAGCATGGCCGGGATCTTGCAACAGCTGGCAGGGTGATTGATTGCATGTGGGAGGTAAAAGATGTTTTCGGGCAGGGACTTGTAAAAGTGGGGAAATGGCAGAAGGAAGGAAGCTGCCTCTGGGGAGAGGTGATGCAGAGGCCTTCCTGGTGGGGTAGTTATGAGGGTGTCAGCCATGCACCCTGGAGGTAGTCAGAGGAAGAGGACATAAGAAAGAGTGGGGAGTACAGGTGTGAGAGCCTTCTCAGGGGAGGAGACCAAGTGGGGGAAGGGGAGGGTGCTCAGGCAGTGTGGGGTGCAGAAGCCAGGGCAGAGAACTGCTTTAGGAAGGGAGGTGAGGTGGTCTCAGGAACATCATGTCTTCACTGAATGAGAGCCAGCTCTAATAATTTAAGACGAGAAACATCTGTTCCAGTTTAAGAATTAAAGTTAAAGCATATCTGGAGGTGATGAACTGTATTTCTAGAAATCCAGCATAAAACTTTCAGTAACTCAGTGCTGATGTTTCTGGTTTATTCCCTCTAGGATGACCGTTCATTAATAAATTTGCATCTCATGCACACCAGTTACTTCCTCTTCGTGATGGTGATAACAATGTTTTGCTATGCGGTTATCAAGGGCAGACCTAGCAAATTGCGTCAGAGCAGTCCTGAATTTTGTCCTGAGAAGGTGAGCATTGGATGGTGTCTGGGCCAGCATTTGGCCAGAGGTGTCTGTGGACAGAATGTCTCACTCCTTACTGTACTGATTGTGAGTGGCAGTTTTCCTCTAGAGAAATTAGCTTCTGTCTTTTTATCAGAAGTAGTCTACCCTCAGTCTAAATTATGTTTTTAGGTTTTCAACCCAAACCTTAGCGGTAAAAAGTACTGTCTATGCGAATTGCTCTCAAATCCCCATTGGAGAGCAGCTGCCCCCCTCCACTTCATCAGCTTGAGAAATCATCTTACACAGTGCTGATCAAGGTTTGGAAACAGTTAACCCTTGAAGTCAGCGCAGTGGTCCTACTAGATCAGCTGCTTCTGGTAGGAGACTTAAATTTCTTTCTTTTTAAAAAATATATTTTATTGATTTTTTACAGAGAGGAAGGGAGAGAGATAGAGTTAGAAACATCCATGAGAGAGAGAGTCATCGATAAGCTGCCTCCTGCATGCTCCCTACTGGGGATGTGCCCACAACCAAGGTACATGCTCTTGACCGGAATCGAACCTGGGACCCTTCCAGGTTCTATCCACTGAGCCAAACCGGTTTCGGCAAGACTTAAATTTCTATTCACTCCTACCTAGATGAGTGTCCGTCCGTCCGTCCGTGTCGTCCCCCCCCCCCCCCCCCCCCCGCTTAGGGTTTTAATAGTTCCCCTCCTGGACAGGTGCATGTGGTGCGGCTCCCTGGTCTTGGATGGGGACCCGGCTCCCTAGACTCTGTTGTGTGACTGAATTGTTTGTCTTGCTCTCTTCTAGGTTGCTTTGGCTGATGCCTAATTCCACAACTGCCCATTTTCTGAGAGAGACTGAGCAAACCGTAAGCATTGCCTGCTGACGCCAGCCTGGGCCTGGACACTCTGTGAATACATTCTCTTGCAATGTTGGGTTATTCCAGCCAAAGACATTTCAAGTGCCTGTAACTGATTTGTATATATTTATAAAAATCTATTCAGAAATTGGTCCAATGATGCACGTGCTTCACACTTGGTGCAGTCCGAGCCCCGCAGCCTCCCCTGTGGACTTGGTGGGATGACCCACATAGCGCCAGCGGCGAGCTCCCTGCCTCGGAGAGGCCATGCCGTCTTTACCAAGATCTCAGGGGCAGTTCATTGCTGGAGGGGTTGAGGTTTGCTTTGATTTGAAACAGTGTGCACCTTTGACATGATACTGCATTTCCCAAGCCACCAATCCATTTTGTGGATTTTACGTGTCTGTGGCTTAATAATCATAGTACCAACAATAATACCCCTTTCTCTGTTTTGCTTGCAAGAAAACACATATCTTTCTAAATTTTCTTTAAAAAAAAATAGTCACATTTTACTACTACTCTAGGTAAGACAGACTTGTTTCTTTCAAAATCTTGAGTAAAATGTTCAATATTTAAAAGTCACCTAATATGGTAAAGATCTAAGTTTAGTTTCCCACAGGAGTTGTGAGGAACCTGGTCTTGTGGAGTTTAGTTGGCACAGAAAGTTCCACTGTTTTTTCCCCCTCTGTTGTCGCTTTCCTTCATTATAAAAGTTAAAGTAGCTTCGTCACTTAAAAGGGCTTAAAAAACCCTGGCCAGTTTTCTCAGTGGTTAGAGCATTGGTCCGCGCACAGAAGGGTTGCAGCTTCAATTTCCAGTTAAGGGCACATACCTGGATTGCAGGTTCGATCCCTGGCCCTGGTTGGGGCATGTGCAGGAAGCAACCAAACGATTTCTCTCTCTCACATCTATGTTTCTCTCTCTCCCTCTCTTATCCTTTTTTCCACTCTCTTTGGAAATCAATGGGAAAAAATATCCTTGGGTGAGGATTTAAAAAAAAGGGCTTAAAAATTAAGTAAATGTCTCTGGAGTAGAGTAAAAATTAACTGCTCTGTTTTCTAGAATGCAGTTGATACTATGGAAAGAGAATGATGATCTGGTCTAATAGTAATGAAAGGATTTCTTGTTTTCTTTGAAAAGGGAGTGGTATTTCTTTCTTCCTTCCTTCATTTATTTATTTTATACATTTATTTCTATGCAGTTAACATATCTTCAGAAGGAAAATGGCAACTAGTAGATTACTAACTTTACAAAAATGATGCCTGTGAAATTTGAATGAAAGCAGTTCTGATTTGCCATTTTTCAGGAAAACCCAAAGCATTTTTCTTTGCTATAACAGTCTGATGATCTGGTTCTTTAACTCCTTTTTCCTTCTAATCCATTTTCATTAAAAATAAAAGTTACGTGTTATCTTTTCTAGTCTTCTTTTATTACTTGTATTCCGTTTTTTTTTTTTTTTTTTTCTTGTTTTTTTTTCACTGTCGTTAATGACTTCTGTGTTCTTGCAAGCAGTGCTGTAGCAAAAGGGCAAGTAAAACCTTGGGCATGACTTCAGTACTTCTTCCCTTAATTCCAGGTCTGCACAGTCTGTTCTGAGTTAGAATCAACCCTGCAGTCTGGAATATAGATTGGTCTGGAACATTTTAAACCAGGCATTCTTGAATGCAAAACAATTGTGGGCTTTTACTAAAGATTATTAAAGTAATTATTAAAATATGTTAATATATATTTGTTCCATTTAGTACGTTTTAAGCACAATAATCAGACTTGCCTATCCAGTTATTTGTATGACATGAGTTGCTTCCATGATGCATGGCTAACTTGTTAGTTTAGTTTTCTGTTTGGAGACTTTGAGGATCTTAAGAAATAAAATTGTGAAAGCCTTTGGGCTTGGCCTTTAGAAACATCACTATCTTTAAGATTTTAGGTTAAGCTGCTACTGAATTAATAAAATCCCAGTGAATGGAGTTCTAGGGATAGATTTATAACTCTCAGAGTAATATAAAAGGAGACAGACAGGTGGAAAAAGTCAATTTCACTGGTTTATTCAATATAACTTGTTGCTAATATTAATTGCCCTTATTTTAATTACAGGGAATGGCTGGAATCTTTAGCCAGGGGAGGAAAAACACTGTTAGGAGTGAGGAAAGGAAGTGCCAAAAATGCCCGGACAGTATGACTTGTCGTGAGGCGTGGACACACCCTTTAAAATCCGGCCTTTACCCTAGAAGGCAAATCTCAAAGGTCTTGTGGAAACCCAGAGTCAGTCATATAGAGAAAGATTGGGGCGGAGGAGGGAGGCTATGTACCTGCTGGTTAAAGAGCCTCCTAACTGAAGAGACTTCCACTGGATCTAGGAAGTCTAGGGGACCTGTTGCTGTGGGGCACTTGCAGACAAGGCCTCTGCGGTGTCTTATTGGGGACTCCAGGATTACGAGTGCCACAGGCAGGGCCCGTTTGCCATTCAGGGTGACCTCACCCAGGAGCACTGGCTCGTCCTTAGGCATCTTGGACTGGAGGTCCAATGAAAGGTCAGCAACTTACTATTAAAGTGGTTGTTTCAGATCATATTGATCTCTTTTCTTTTTCCTTTTGTCCTTTCACTGTATGACTTGAATCAGTTTTGATTCTATTTGTAAATTTTTCTCATCATTAGGAACCTGCCATTTCTGTTGCGTTTTCTTTGGCAGTTTGTAGGGTTTCAGCATCCTGGTTTTCAGCCCTCCTGCAGGCACTGTAGGGTCACAAGGGCCATTGGATCCATTTCACTTCTCTTGTTGCATGATGGTCAGTAGCTGATGTTATGGCATTCACTCCCAGATTAATTTTTCATGTTTGAAATGTGTGCATATGTGCTTTACCGAATAAAACATCTGAATTATTTGCTGTGTCTCTGTTTCCTCCTGTCTGATGGTGTTTTCTAAGGCAAGAACATCTGTAATAATAAAAGGGTAATATACTAATTAGACTGGACATCATTCCGAACGTCCTTCCTAACGAAGCTGGGGCTGGAGGAAAGCCAGTCCCAGTCCTGGGTGTCTGCGGGCGGCCAGAGGATAGAAGCAGCCCAGGTCCTGGGGCTTCTTGCGGCAGGAGGAGGGAAGCAGCCTGGGTCCCTGGTGCCTGCCGGCGGCTCCTGAGCCCTGGAGAGAAGCTGGTGCTGGCAGCCAGGGGGAAGGAAGGCTACTCTTGCACGAATTTTGTACATCAGGCCTCTAGTATGTGATAATTAATTGAGGGTTTTTGAAGTAGTTCTTTCAAAGTGTCACCTATCATCAGAATGAGGAGTGGGCAGTGTTTACTACTAAGCTGGTCTCATCAAGCACACAGATCTTCCTGAGAGCACAAAACCTCTTTTAATGTCGGACCAGCTAGTGTTTGCAGACTTGACCCAGATCCTCTCCAAAGAAGTGATACAGGCCGGTAGGGAACATGGAATAAGTGTGGGAGTGCAAAGACATTCTTCTCAGTTACATAAACCCTTCGAGTGTGGCTGGCCTTAGTTACCAGAAGCTGACTCCTCGCTGGCTCTGCCTTCTGTTACAGAGCCCCTGCACGTGCTAGACTTTCTTTGCCGGGGCACTGCATCCTCTGCACTTAGTTGTTGATGGGGAAATAGAGTTGTTTGACCATTGCAAGGATAGATGGCTGGTCAATTAATTCTAAGGGGAGAAAAGGGATTGAGTTTTGCCTTTGATATTATTTAGCCCCTTTCCTCTTGCTCACTCAGTATATAATCTGTTGGCAGATAGTGACAAGATAAAGATAGAGGATGATGGCTATGCTGCTTTTGTTGGGGTGATTGCAGAAGGCATCTTGGAAGAGGTACAATATGAAGGCACATGCAAAAGAATGGATTTTGCCTGGGCATTCTGTGCAGAGGACATAGTTTGGCCCTGGTGCAGAGGCTGAACTCTAAGGGCCTTGGCTTCGTGCTAGGTGGAGAATAGGAGTTGTGTAAGAACTTGTTTCCCCACCTGAGGACAAGATGCCCCCAGGTTGCTGCCAGAGTGGCCCCATTGAGGTGGCCTGGGGGGTGGGGGAGAAGGGTTGTGCAGGGAGTTGCTCTACCACCACCTGGTCCAGGAAGGGAGTTCTCTGAACTGAAGTTCAGCATGGCAGATACAAGCCCTGCTCCAACTCCTGCAGGCCATGTAACTATGGCCGAGTTGCTGAACCTCTCTGTGTCCCAGTTTTCTCATCTATAGAAAAAAGGATAATAGTACATACTTGAATGTAATGAGGATTCAGCAGGTCAGTTACTACAGAGTGTATAGAACAGTGTCTGGCACTCTGTAATATATACTAATAATAGCCTAGGTGGTGTCACACCCTCATGTCATCACAAGATGGCCACACACACAGTGGAGTTGGGGCTGCGAGGTGAGGCCTGGGGGTCCCACAGCTCTGTGTAGTGCAGAGGAGGCTGGTCCTGGTGAGGAGGCAGGTTGTAGCAGGGGAAGGCAGTTGTGGGTGATCAGGCCATCAGGGAAGGGCAGTTGGGGGGCAATCAGGTCTGCAGGGGAGCAGCTAGGCATCAATCAGGCTGGCAGGGGAGTGATTAGGGGGCGATCAGGTTGGCAGGCAGAGGTGGTTAGGAGGCAGGCGAGTGGTTAGGAGCCAGCGATCCCTGATTGTGAGAGGGATGTCCGACTGCTGGTTTAGGCCTGCTGGGATGATCGCGGCCAGCAGCCACCTCTCACACCCACTGCTGGTGCTGGCTCCCCTAGCATTCACTGCTGGCGCCTGGTCCTGATCGCCCCTGAGGGCTTCTCTACCTCCACTCCTGAGGGGTGATTGGGGCAGCAGCCATCGCTGGCACTGGCTCCTATTGCTCTGCACAGTCAGCGGGTGTGAGCAGGGACGGTGCCATCAGCTTGTGGGAGCAGGGCTGCTGGCAGAAGGGATGGGGTCTGGGGGGGTGGCCTGTGGAGGATGGGCCTAGACCCACCTCTGTGACCACCACAAC